CTGGAAAGGCTCCATATGGGGTTTTCTCTTTTCTCCCTCTACGATCTCCACCTCATCTTCTTCCCTACGAATTTCAGAATTTGTATTCTTTCCTTCTGGCCCTCTCGCCACGGAAGTTGTCGTTTGTTTGTGGAACTCTAACATCTTCTTCATCATGTCCCGCAGGTCAGCTACTTGCCCTTCCATCGAGGAAATTCTTTCATCTGTTGTTGTCTTGATTTGATTCATCTATACTTCAAGTCTCTCCTCCAACGCATCCACTTTTTTGGCCGTCATCATTCCTCGAATTTTTGTAGATTCAAAAATCTGAATTTTGATCACAAAAAACAACTACTTTCTCCATTGTTGACCCAAAAACAACCACTGAAATTTGCAAGAAACAGCCCACCAACGATCCCAAGACTTGCTCTAATACCAATTTGATAGGAAACACTTGTAGATCTCAAGTATTTCCTATCAATCTTCAGAAAACAGCGAGAATTCTCCACAAAAATACATACAAAATCATGAAATAGTAGATAATTTTTATTATTTGATGAAAGGGAACAGAAAATACCAAGATACAATTAATACTCTATTTGAGAGGAGGATCGATCTCTCCCAAATCTCTAGACGCCGCTAGAGCCCAATGAAATCATATGAGATCTCAAATTTCACTCAAATTCAAGATGCCCTAACTCTAGGAAAACAAACTATTTAATGCATACAATTCAAAAAGAAATCTCTAAACAGTCCATACATTCAAATTTCCCTCCTAATTCTCTCAAAAATCCTTCCTAAACTGCTCCATGGGATCCGCCGGCTTGCGCGACTCATACAGACGAGGCGGAGATTTCTTCCTCTTTTCGCCCATGCCGGTCCCGTAGGACCGGCTGGACCGGTCCATTCTAACATAAAGTTAATGTTTACACATTACTATAACGGGAAGTTAAGATCCATGAATTCATGGATTACTATTGATGGAAAGGAGCTAGTCATAGATTTATGATTACAACAATAATAGCTAACAAGCATACAATATTAATGTCTATATCTTAAACCTTAACAACATAATTTGTGTTGCATCCAATCATGATAGTTGTCATGATCACTTGCAGCCCTTTTATGTTATAAATTACGTCGTGCTCCTCTGTGGCATCTACTGCAACACACCTCAGATTGCTTGACACGAGAAAAAAAAAACCCTTGAAAAATCTAAAGGAAAATGATGTTTGATTATTATACTAATTTGTTGATTACCTTAGACAATTCAAAATATCCATTAAACTTTTATTAATCCACCAAAATGAAAAATAAGGATCCATTATTAAAATAAAAATAATCGTAAAAGCAATAACCAAGTTAATGCAAAATCTAAATTGAGTGTGAAAAACAACCAAGCAATTAATCACAAATAATCAAACTCTCGATCAATTAATAAATTCAAGTAAAAAAATGGATTGAAATTGTGCAGGGACAACGATATTATGCATATGCATTGATAATCATACTTGCAGATTAAGAAATATGTAAATACATCTAAAAGTATACAAGGCACCAAATCATCCCATGGCATGTTTGAATAAATTGAGAGATACTATTAATACATGAACGTTCATGAAATCGTGCACCTATCTTTGGGTGAACTTGTGAGCATGCCAACAACACGAAAAAAGAAAGTGCTACTGCATCTTGATCTTCGGAATAGCCACAATTTGTATAGTGTTCGATAAACCCCCAGCTAATCTAAATAACCATAATACCTCTATACAATGGAAAATTCTTCTAAATAACATCTCACGTCCTAAATTATTATAATAGCCCTAGCATCCAATGTAATACGTTCCATATTGACTTTGTTGTCAGGCAAATAGGCCAAGGACTCAAGTTTGGCCATACTATCCCTAAGTTAATTTGAGGGTCATGTTGAGTTATCATCTCAATATGCATGTGAAATACACATTAAAATACACATTACGAAAATAAATAAATAAAATCAACCCAGTTTAACCAATCGAGTTACCTTTTCTATAGTGTAAGGTTGTCAAACAAGCTCTTGGGGTAAATCTAATATTTGATTCATAAGTTTCATGTATAGATGTGTATAAGATAAGATTATAAACAACAAACATTTGGGCCACTACAAATAAGTAGTAAGACCTAAACTTTAAATCAAGCTTATTCCTAATATCAAGTGCAAGCCAAGAATTCAAAAAGGAAATCATTGGACCATCATAAATATATGGAAAATCCATAAGGCACATTACTAAGCTTTCATTGCCTTTAAGACTATAAGTTCCATTTGTAGGCCTTCACTAGATAGATAACCCAACCCAACCTAAACTCATGCCAACTACAATACTAACAAGCCCACCAATCAAAACCAAGTCCAACTAAAATCATATAAGCCAGAAATCCCACATGTGTTGCTTCATTAAACTAAAACTCATGAATAATTGACGTCACGTCATGCCTCTAAGCTCTTGTTGATCATATCCAATACCCATAAACTACAAGTAATCAAGCTTTATGCCTTTGAACTATATAATAAAAATGGTACAACTAAACCTTTACTAACAAACGACTTGACATCAATCTCAAAAGCATGTCTTTGAAATGACCATATTTCCAACTTGATTTACTTGGGATACTTAAAATGATACAGCACAAGACTGCTAATTAAGCTCCCTACACATTAAGGCTAACATCTCTCTAATATTGGAAGAATGGGCTTGTTGGTATACCCGAAATCTTAAAACCACAGAATCCTAATAGAGTTTATCTCAATTTCCCATCAAATAAATACAAACCTAAATATTCAATTTGACTCTAAAGTAAGCCTAAGTAAAATATTTAATTGACCTATAAAAAATTTAAACCTCTAATCTAAATAATTCCTCAATATCAGGGACAATATATTTAAAACAAAATCTAATCTACTTCAAAGAAAAGTATTCCTAAGTTTTCTCTCAAACAAAATATGGAAGCTCTAAAGCTAAGGGGTTGGCTTCTCCTAAGCAATCACAAGACAAAAGTAATGAGCGACTAAAAGTAGCTTCTCAAAGCTATGGCTAAAGTTGACATACTAAAAGAAATTCTAATTAGCTTTTCCCATTAGTTATGATGAAAATGGGGACCAAAATCCCAATAAAGGTTTACTTAAAAATAGTTCAATATTACAATAAATAAATAATAGGTTAAGTTAATTTAGAATACCAACTAATTATTAAATTAAATAAATTAATAAAGCTAAGTATGGCAAAATTAGGATAGCTAATCATTCACATAAGATTAGGATAATAATGTAGTTTAATAAGTCAAAGAATGATTCATTACTAAATTAATAAGATTAACAATCTATTAATTAGACTAAATAGTTATTTATTGATAATTAGAAAATTTTATAATATAATTACACATACATATTAATGAATTAAAAAATAAATATATTATTTCAATAAATATAAAAAAATTTAACTGAATAACAAGTTTTATTAATGGTTAATTCAGCTAATTAACTAATGATTCATTATTAAGATGATAAGGTCGTCTAATGAGTCAACAATAATTCATTAAAAATAATATAGTGCAATTATTTGAATATTAACTAATGATTATGGCATTAAATTAAACTAATTATTGATGTAATAAGAAAATAATTAGTTGAATTAAATATTTACATAGCAATATAGCATTAGCATAATTAGATATTCAAATTACTCATAAATACAACTACAACAACATCAAGCCTTTTTCCCACAGCGTGGGGCCGGCTACATGAATCCTTTTTCTCCATTGTGTCATGTTAAGAGTTAAATTTTCATTTAAATCTAATAAATAAAGGTCATTTCTAATATTTTCTAACCAAGTCTTTTTAGGTCTACGTCTACCTTTCATGACATAAGTCAAATCTAATACATCTACTTTTCTAACTAGGTAATCGGAAGGCTATTGTTTTATGTGACAAAACCATCTAAGGCAACTCTCTCTAATCTTATCTTCCACTGAAGCTACTCCAACTTTTTCACGTATATGCTCATATCATATCATGTGTCTAAGAATAAAGACACTCATCCATCTAAGCACCATATAAAATTGCAAGTCTCACTACCATCTTATAGAATTTTCCCTTTAAGTTTGAGAGGGACTTATTATCACACAACAAGTCTAATGCATTCCTCCACTTCAACCATTCAACTTGAATTCTACTAATAATATCACTATATATTTCACCATCACTCTGAACAATAGACCTAAGATATTAAAAACATGTACTCTTATAAATGACTTGATCACCCAAAATCACAATCCCCCCATTAGATCCACTATTACGAAAATTACACTCCATATATTCAGTTTTAGATCTACTCAAACGAAAGTTTTAGACTCTAAGGTTGACCTCCATAATTCAAATTTACCTTCAACTCTCTCTCTAGTCTCATCAATAAGAAGAATATCATCAGCAAAAAATATACACCAGGGTAAAAAACCTATTGCAAATATCTAGTGAGAACATCCATGACTAAAGCAAATATATATGGGCTTAAGGCTGATCATTGATGTAATCCAACTGAAATAGGAAAATACTTAGTCAAACCACCTTATGTTTGAACACAAATAACAGCTCCTACATACATATCCTTAATGACTTGAATATAAGCATTATTAACCCCTTTCTTTTCTAGAACTCTCCATAGCCCTTCTCTTGGAACTTTATCATATGCTTTCTCTAAACCAATAAATATCATATGTAGATCCTCCTTATTCTCTTTATACTTCTCCATCAAACCTCTCAATAAATGAATTAAAATGTAAGTCTAACTACTTCCCTAATAACTAATGGTAATGATATTAAGGGTGGTAGGAATCAATTTTTGTTTAATTTTATTTTTAAAAACACAATTTGTTTGAGATTTTTTTCCTTTTATTTTTCTAAAATCAAACTATGCTAGTTTTAAAAAGACTCAAAACAACTTTGAGGTGTTTTCTAGGTATTTCATTATATTCAAAATGGAAAACACCTCAACTAGTCATCTTTTATTGTTGTCACCACTAGTTGTTGCTACCACAGCAGTTCACTGCCACTAGCAGTCGCCATTGCCATGGCCAGTTGTCAGTTGCTACGACCAACACTGATGGTTTATGCTGTCACCACCTACCACCAAGGTAAATAACAAAGGTTAACAATATCAAACATTAATTAATTAAACAACTAACTATTGTTAATGAATTTACGTACTAATAAATTATTAATATTAAATTAACTTTATATGAATTCTATTCTAAAGTCCTTTTTTTCATTCAACTTAAATAAGTGACAAATTTTAAAAAAACAGCTTAAGCTTTTAAAAATGATTTTAAACAAATGGCTTCAACTCTTACAGCGGACACAACAATCTTAACAATAATTTCAACAAACAGTCACTTTCTTTACTAGACAGCACCACACAGCATAGCACAACAAAATATTGAATAGCACAGCACAATCAACATTATCAAATAGGTGCTACAGTTGTTCCTCCCATATAAGAAAATGAACTTTATTTCATAATTGGCCTAAACAAAAGCTTTGGTGATACAGCAAATTAAAGTAAACTTAATCCTCAAAGCATAAAAAATTTCTACCTAAACTATTTAACCACACAAACAAACTGAAATAATAGCAGTATTTAACATACTAAAAGGAATCAGCTCTGGAAAACATGAGAAACGCAAGCTAACCATTACGATCGGCTTCATCTATCATTTCCCTTATCTCAGTAAGAGTGAAGCTTTCGCCCAACTCTTTAGAAATTTTTGAGATGTCTACATCAGAAATTTTCCCCTGGAAATAAACAAAGAAAAATTATTCTATCAGAAAAGAACAAAACAGCAATTAAAAATTTGAAGAAATCAGAAGCTCGATATGCACATTATTGTCCTGGTCAATAATGCGGAATGCTTTCATAAGCTCCTCTTTAGCGTCCCTTTCTCCTATTTTTGTTGTCATCATGTGCATAAATTCATCAAAATCAATGGCACCACTACCATCTTTGTCAACATCAGCAATCATATTATTGATTTGCTGCAAACAACATGATAATTCATGGTCACTTCACAAGTTCAGAGAGAATTAAACCACACATTTCAGCAAGGAAGAATAGTTTTTCGCAGGTTCACAGGCTAATTAATCTAAACAAAAAAAAAGAAACTAGAGAAAATATGAGGGTCTTTTCACAAACATTTCTAATTAAACAGATTTTAGCAGTTAGTTGCATCATAACTGAGTGAAATGGGCCCAGTGATGAAATTTTTTTAACAAATTTAGATAAATTTAGAGTTGACACATGCACCATCTTCATAAGTTGAATGTATTAAGACCAGAAAGAATCCTTATCCTTCTGGTTCAGGATTACTTCCACATCCCTCCCAATCATCCGATGATAACCTAGATGGGGGTTTTGCTAATTTATTCCCACGTCATGTGGCCAAATTCTTATAATAAATGAGATCATAATCTTATGTTTTACAGTTGTTATCAGATTTCAGCAAAGTAATAGAGAGTAAAGGATTTAGCTCTTGTAACTCTTTGAATATGTTTCTCTAATATCTAATTCTATATATATCAAAAACTGGTATAAAGCTTATTTAGCTTCAGTGTGGATTGGATTTCTTGATACTGCTTTTAAAGCTACCTGTTGCACCAACTTTTCCAAGCTATAGCTTTATTAAAACTTTTTTATATATCTCATAAGCACCACAGATCAAATATTTGAAATTTGAATTATTCGGGGGTCGGAGGATCCACATAAACTTGCTTCAGCTGATAAATATCTACATCTGCATTTAAGCTGAATTTATTGGCAACCAGAAAACAATAGCTAATTACATTATAAAAGAAACCATGGAACCTTTAGTCAGTAAGAGCCATACTCTCTTTGGTAGCAGCCATAGACAATAACGTAACAGTTGATGCATTCATGTGGTGGCGCAATGCCACATCCAGTACTATTTTGGTTCAAACTCCAGCGATATCAAATTCTATGAGTTCGGTATTGCTAAGGTTGTATTTCCTCCCAAGCAGAATATCAAAGGCGGAGCTTTGGAAATTAGAAAAGGATACTTAAGCAAAGCCAATCCACTTCCTAAGGAGCATGGCCTCGAGAAGGCATACTATGAACTTCATGATGCTTTATGGTGTTCCAAATGACAATTCATTCTATGTGAAAATAAAACATTCAATATATATTTTAAAAATTGACTACATCTAACTTGAACAACTCAAAACAGCAAATTCCATTACATTGATGAACTTGCAAACAAAAATCATTCAACTCATTTAATTATTTATTTATTTTTAATGTTCTTTCTTTGATACTGCAAAGGTTGTTGCATCGCCGCCGGGGTGCAGTGTTAAATAGGCAAGGGTTCCCACATCATGGATTTTTAGTGGGCAAAGAAGCTAGTTCATGTAAGTAAAATTAGAATAGGAACTTGGAATATAAGTTCTGTTACAAGCAAATTAATGGAATGAATAAATATTATGATCCATAAAAAGATAAATATTCTTTGTATTCAAGAAAATTAAATGGGTTGAAGAGAAGGCTAAGGAGATTGATAGTTTATGATTTGAACTATGGTATTCGGGTAGGAGTCGTATTAAAAATGGTGTAGGTGTAATTATAGATAAGAGTTTGAAGGATAATATTGTAAAAATTAATAAAATTTAGAAAAAATTATAGTTTTAAAGATTGTTATTGATGCTAAGATTATTAATATTATAAATATTTATGCTCCTCAAGTAGGTTTGAATATGTGTTCAAAATTAAAAATTTAGAATGACCTAGAAAAATCAATACAAAAGATACCTCTCAAAAAAAGAGCTTTTATTAGAGGAGATTTAAATGAACATGTTGATAGTGTGGTAGATGATTTTAAAAGCATTCATGATGGCTATGGCTTTGAAGCGACTAATGAAAGTGGTAAGATATAATAGATTTTTCTTTAACTTATAATTTTGTAATTGATAATACCTTATTAAAGAGGAGAAATGAGTATCTCATCACTTATAAGAATGAATATAGTAAAACATTTATTGATTATTTTCTTATAAGAAAAATATATCATTTAAAATGTAAATACTGTAAAGTTATTCAAAGTGAAAGCTTATGTACCCAACATTGATTATTAATTTTAGACTTTAAGATGAAGGGACAGAAAATTAAAAATAAAGTAAATCATTATTCTAGAATTAGAAGAGGGCATTTAAAAAATATTAACAAAAATACTTTTTAGAGTAAGATTCTAGGTCTTAAAATTTTGTCTGTACATGAAGAAGCTAATATTATGTGGAAAAAAAGTAACTAGTGATATTAAGAATGTTGCAAAAAATATGCTTGGAGTATCAAAGTGAAAAACTAATAACAGTAAAATAGTTGGTGGTCTAATAAAAATGTGCAAGAAAAAATAAAAAATGAGAAGATTTATTATAAAATTTGTTTAGCTGTAAAAACTCTGATAATTGGGAAAGATATAAAGAGGCCCATAAGGAGTCTAAGAAAGCAATTTGCAACGTAAAGATTTTAGCTTTTAATGATTTATATAATAAATTAGATACTAAGGAGAACAAAAGATATATGTATAAGTTAGCTAAAGAAAGAGATATTAAGAGTAAGAATTTAGTTCAAATGATGTGTATTAAGGATGATGATCAAAAAGTGATTTTATTAGAAGAGGATATTCAACAAAGGTGGATGAGATATTTGTTAAGCTTTTTAATGAAGATATGAGAATGTGATTGACTTCAGTGACTTTAGCACCCTAAATGAAAATAAAGATTTTTATTTTTATCAATGTATTAGTAAAACTTTAGTTAAAAAGGCTTTAAAGAAAATGAAAAATGGAAAAGCTGTTCGACTTAATGATATTCCAATAGAGGTGTGGAAATGCTTAGGAGATGAGGAATTTCTTGGCTTACTAAACTTTTTAATATTATTTTTAAGAAAAAAGATGTCAGATGAGTGGAGAATGAGTATGTTGACTCTTATTTCTAAGAATAAAGGTTATGCACAAGATTGTGCAAATTATAGAGGAATTAAATTAATGTATCATACTTTAAAACTATGGGAGAGAGCTATAGAGCATAGGTTGCGACGTGGTACTAATGTTTCTCAAATTCAATTCAGATTCATGCCAGGTTGGTAAGCTATGGAAGCTATATATTTATTGAGAGGTTTGATGGAGAAGTATAGAGAGAATAAAGAGGATCTTAATTTTTATTGATTTAGAGAAAGCTTATGATAAAGTTCCAAATGAGTGCTATGGAGATGTCTACATAAGAAAGGGGTTAATAATGCTTATATTCAAGTCATTAAAGATATGCAGGAGCATTAAAGATATGTATGCAGGAGCATTAAAGATATGTATGCAGGAGCTCTTACTTGTATTCAAACACAAGGTGGTTTGACCAAGTATTTTTCTATTTCAGTTGGATTACATCAAAGATCAGCCTTAAGCCCATATCTTTTTGCTTTAGTCATGGATGTTCTCACTAGACTTTTGCAAGAGGTTGTACCCAAGTGTATGATTTTTTTATGATATTCTTCTTGTTCATAAGACTAGAGAGGGATTTGAAGGTAAACTTGAATTATGGAGGCAACCTTAGAGTCTAAAGGCTTTCGTTTGAGTAGATCAAAAACTGAATATATTGAGTGTAATTTTGGTAAAATAGATCTAGTGGGGGATTTTGACTTTGGGCGATCAAGTCATTAATAAGAGCACATGTTTTAGATATATTAGGTCTATTGATCAGAGTGATGGTGAAATCGATGGTGATATTATTAGTAGAATTCAAGTTGGATGGTTGAAGTGGAGAAATGCATCGGGCTTGTTGTGTGATAGAAAAATCCCTCTCAAACTTAAGGAAAAATTCTATAAGATGGTAGTGAGACTTGCAATGCTTTATGGTGCATAATGTTGGTCATTAAAAGAGAAGCATAATATTAAGTTAGGTGTTGTAGGGATGAGGATGCTCAGGTGGATGAGTGGCTTTACTCTTAAAGACAAGATATGAAATGAGCATATATGTGAAAAGGTAGGAACAGCTCTAGTGGAAGATAAGATTAAAGAGAGTCACGTTAGATGGTTTGGTCAAATAAAATGGCAGCCTTCCGATGACCCGATTAGGAAAGTAGATGTATTATATTTGACTTATGTTAAGAAAGGTAGAGCTAGACCTAAAAAGACTTGGTAATAAAGTATTATAAATGACATTTCTTTATTAGATTTAGATGAGAATTTGACCCTTAACAGCACACAATGGAGAAAAATGATTCATGTATCCGACCCCACATAGTGGGATAAATGCTTGTTGTTGTTGTTACTTTTTTTGTTCTTTCTTTGATGCTAGAATATGGAAACCTCTTGAAGATAGCTGGCTTGCCTCCTTGAAAAAATGTATAATGATACAAGTTTACATTTAATGGATGGTTTCATTTTGATCAGCTAATCCTTTCAATCAGTCTTTGTTACTATACCATTATTCTAACTATCATAATTCAATCAAACGTACTATTTAGGTTCCCAACTAATTTAATCGATACAAAACTAAAAAAGGATATACAACAAAGATTGTATGTAATAAGACAAATAACTTGCGCATTTCAATTTTCAATATCATTTTGAATACATTTTGTTGTTTTTGACATATATTCATTACACAATATACATCTATAAGTTTGCTTAATGTAACTATGTACTGCAATGCAGGATTTTCTTACAAAAAACTATCATAAACAATATGTGCTTATGTTCCTAACATGTGTGACAACTTCATTCTTATTTCATAAAAATACTTGCATGGAGTACAAAATAATTGAAACAAAATTAATCATATTTTAAGCATAATATAATAACAACAATAAGCCTTTATCACACTATGTGAGGTCAGTTACATGAGTTTTTTTCTCCATTACGTCCTGTTAAGAGTCAAATTCTTATTTAAATCTAACAAAGAAAGGTCATTTATAATATTTTCTAATCAAGACTTTTTAGTTCTACTTCTAACTTTCTTAACATAAGTCAAATGTAATATATAAACTCTTCTAACCAATTTCTGAAGGCCAACATTTTTATATGACCAAATCATATAAGGCGTCTCTCTTATCTTATCTACCACTAGAGCTACTCCAAACTTTTCACGTATATTTTAAGCATAATGAAAAGAAAAAAAAACAATCAATTTGAAACTAAAGGAAACAAATATTACCTCCTCCGTCATTTCAAATCCCAATGCCCTGAAAATGAAATATCAGCATATTAAAATAATAATTAATTAATGAAGAAAATATAAACAGGTACCTCATGGCAACATTCAGCTCTTTGGCATCAATAGTGCCTATTACAATGATCAAGAAGACAGAGAAGCATGCATGAGGAAAGAGATAAGAAATATAAATTGAATTATATTTAATATAAATTACCCATATTCACAACGAAACCATACCAGAACCATCAGTATCAAACAGATCAAAGGCTTCCTTGATCTCTTGCTTCTTTTGTGCAGTTACTCCATGATGACGACCTTTAGGTTTCTCCCTTCTAGATGTTGGCACCGTTGAGTTGCTAGTTGCCTGCCAAAAAGAACCATGAGATATTATTCAACCTAAATGTACACACAAGATCAAGATATCCTCCAACAATCCTAAACTATACCAGCAGTGTACTCCAAGAATCTCCGTTAAAAGAAAAAGTGTTAATTATCCTGTTAGCAGTTGTTAAAAAGACCAAAGACAACTTATTCAGTACTCCTTACACAGAAAACTTCATGAGAACTTTTATCCTGAAACTTCCAAAAGCTATACACCAACAAATCCGGGTTGCTGTCCACGTTCAACCATAATCCATGAGTTAATTAATCACATGCGTATTCCTTAAACTCCAAAACTTCGAATTGCAAGGCAATGAAGCCACCTGATTATTATATTCATCCATTAACCTAAATTAAAGCATATAAGAAGATTCAAAATCTCTACTCAAAACTTCATTGAGTAAAAGAGAGAGAAAAAAGAGGCAGTTTCGCTGCAGATTTAAGTAGGATTGAGGCAAAATTTAGGTCAAATCCAGCGAAAGACTTAAGGGATTAGTCTGACTGCAGTAGAGATTCAAACCTAAAAGACTGAATAAAACGCTCCAGCAAATCCACAAACCCTATAATCTAGATAGATGGAACAAGACGAAATCCTCTATCTCAGGCTTTCTTAACATAAGCTTAAACACGAAAATTCTAGATCAATTAGTAAAGGAATTGGGGGAAATTGATGGAGAAAGAGTTGACTACCATTTATTAGAATCGGTAGGGATCTCGTTGATCTCTTGGAGCTCCGGATATAATGGAGTAAACTTCGGCGAAGAAGGCTGCTCTTTTTATCTTCCCCGTATCTTCCTGCGGACTCTAGTCAAAGTGTTTCAGGCCGGTTCCGAAATAATTCCGACTAACGTTGAATAGGTTCACTTAGGTCTGTTGAGGCGGCTGTAGCCTGTAGCGTTTGCTTCTTTTTATTTTTTTTTCATTTTATTTTTTTGGAAAGTTTGTGGGGTTGGCCCCTTTAATTACTTATTATAAAATAGTTCAGTAATACGAAAAGAAGAAAAAGTTTCGAGTTTCTGTAACCAAAAAATCTGACAGAAAAAAAAATGTGTATATATATATATATATATATTAGAAATTTGAGACCTTAGCTTATTCTATTAAGAATCAAAACAGATAAACAAGCATAAAAACGAGAAGTTGCCTATAGCACAAAGGAGGCAAAACAAAATCAAAAGATCTAAAAAAACAACAAATTATAAATAAAACGGATAACATAAAACCAAAATTAGACAAGAGAACCTGTTTGGCCTAAAATTAGAATTGCATGCAGGAAACATTGCCCGAGGAACGACAACACCCTTGGTTGCACATAGATCATCCATATGGTTGAGGGCAGGCTACATCATCGCCCAGAATTAGCAACACCCTTGGTTGCTCAGAGACTATTCAAAGGGGTTGAGGGCACGCTTCATTATCATCTAGGCCCAAAGTCGAGCCTACCAAAAGTCATTCTAAGCAACATGGGCAGCAAGATTGATAAAGAATGGAGAGTACATAAACTTAAGTATTCCAGTTGGCCCACAAAGAAAAGAGAGGCAAGTATTCTTGGAAAATAAGTATGAAACAAGACTATAATTAGAAGAGTGAACTAGACCAAGATAAATTAAAATAAAACTATTGCTAGACTCAGAAGGTAGCAAAAGAGATTCCTAGCAAGCATAGATAGAACCAAGTTGCTAGGGCAGGTAGACCCTCTAGAGATGCCTTAGGCGAAAAAAATGATTGAATAGACCAATCATGATGGAACAGCGTGAGCAAACAAGAAGTGAACATCATGGTTGCCATAGCACCGTTGCCACCATCCAAGGAATCTGAAGGAACCTTGCCACATCTTTGTCCAACCAACAAGACCAGAGCAACAAAACCATTAAGAAGCCCAATGAAATAAAAAATGGGTAGATAAAGTATCCAAAAAATAAAAGAACTATTAAGAAAGAAGTTACAGAATCTCAACATAGTTCTTCCAATTAAAAAGTTTGACACGGATGGCTCTTTTAAGCTTGATTGTAATACTATTTGAGCAATTGATGATTCTCCCAAATCTTTTACCATTTCTCCCTCTACAAAGAAATTATATCAATCATTTGAACTAATTTAATCATCGAGTGAGAGAGAAGTCCTCGTATAGTAAGAGAAAGTCTCCGTCTAGTGAGAGAAAGTTCCCATTTCAAATTTTCCTGATTTATATTATGCTCTTCCAAGCTTATTTTTAGGAGATGGTGGCAACTGGCCGCTAGCAATCGGTGGTTTCATCATCAGCGGTACATCCCAATGGAGGTTCAATGACTCATAATAGAGTTAGTATCAATCATCCTGGAACTGGAAGGTTCCCTGATGACGATGAAGTGCAGACGAGATTGTTGAAGGTGAAAAGGAAAATGTTGTTAATGTTACTAAGAAGGTTACTCATGTGATTAGTAAGGGTAAAGGTATTTCTCAATAGTTTGAATTTAAAACTCCTCGATGGTCAAAGTCTCTAGCAAAAACATCATTGAAATCCAATGATCTTCAAGCTTCTTTGTTGAGGATGAAAATTTTTTGTGAACAGATTTGGTAGTTCAAACTAAATCCCTGATGACAGTTTGATCAATAAAAGTCATCTATATTGATTAACAATGATGTCCGTGAAAATGTTGAGAAGTATTTAGATGGTGTTATGGAGGACTTTGCTTCTTTGAATGTTCATAATGAAGCGACTGTTCGAACTGAGAATAAAGTCAGAGGAGGAAATCCATGGTCTAGGAAGCCTTACATCAAATTAAATTTTAAAGAGGAGTATGTACAGACGGATGATAGCATAGCAGCGAAGTTACATGCTCCCAATGAAATTTCAAATTCAAACAAGTTGGAAAATTCTTTGGTAGCTAAGGTGTTTGGTAGAGAGATCCCTTCTCATATTGTTGCTTGGGAATTAAGGCGTCAATGGACATAATTTTGTTAGTTTCATTTTACTACCCTTTGGATGGGATGGTTCTTGTGTTCATTCAAATCATCTGAAGCTTTGGAGGCAGTTCTTACAGGTGGTATGTGAATGGTCATATTATTGGAGTGGATAAATGGTCCCTAAATTTTTCTATATTGTCTATGAAGGGACATACTTCTCCTATATGGATTAAAATGCCTCAATTGCCTTTGCAATGTTTGGATGAGGTTAATGTGGCAAGAATTGCTTCTATGGTGGGGAGACCATTAATGTTAGATGGTAACATATTTTAATGGGGCAGAATAGAGTTTGAAAGAACTTTTGTTTGTGTGAAGCTGGACCAACGTCTTCTTTTAGGTGTTTGGCTGGAGGGTATGTTGGGGAGTTTTTTTTTCAAAAGATTGAATATGAGAAGATCTCCACATTTTGTTTTGAATGTGGGATGATTGGGCATGTTAGGAGTGATTGTTGTAAGGGAAATCTAGTTGATAATGAACCGGTGAAAAATGCTACTAGGCCAGGGCAAGTGAACTCTAAGATTGTGATTCAAGGAGCTGATAAGAATTCAACTTATGGACCTTGGGTACATGTATATTATAAAAGAAACAAGCAGATGGTTCAAGAAAAAGCAATCATTTACTCATCCCAATTCGGGAGGCTTGGACAGATGAGGTACACTAAGAAAAATTAGATTAAATCAATTAATGTGGATGCAGAAAAACCTGTCGGTATGGGAACAAAGAAGTTGGGTATCTCTATGAATGTGGCATTGGAGAAGAACAAAGAAGGCAATGTGGTAGCTTAAGAAGGTGGAATAATTCTGGAGCAGGCTATTCGAGAGGATGCTATTGCAACTTGTGGAGCAGTGGAGCAGAACAAATTGACATAGGAAGTGTTGGGACAACTCGGTTATGTATTTAAACAGGGTATGTACTCTACTTCTATTTCTTCTGATATTAATTATGCTGTGAATAAATATGAGGCTTTGAATAACTGTGGTGAGGAAGCTTTGGAGGTTGATAAAACTTCAATAAGAAGGTCTGAGATTGGTACAAAGGTGGATTTGTCATTGGAGAAGGAGGATTCTATGATGAATATGGGAGTTAAAGGTGAGAGAAGCAGTGAAGTTTTTGGGATATTAATATGGGGAAAGAGGTTGGTGGAAGTTTATAGGTGGCTAAATTTAAGCTTGCAAATGTACTTAAATATCTTGGGCCGGTTAAAATTCTTCCTCACATTAGAAATTCTGATGTTGTTAATAAAGGAAAGGGTGGGGGCTCATCCCCCTTGGTGTATCAATGAGTTCCATTGCTTTTGGGAATTGTAGAGGGGCCAAGAAAATTTCTGTCTTTGATAGAGTGATCTTAAATAAAATGATGGGGTCATATTGGGATTATTTCCTGCTTCCATTAGATGGTTTGTTAGGAAGAATTATGGTTATATGGAGATCAGATTTGGCTTATTTTTTCTGTGTTGAAGACTTCTAACCAATGTGTAATTAGTGATATTAATATTTTTAATGAAGGAATGTGTATGATTTCTATAGTTTATGGTAGTAAGGATGTTCATAAGAGAAGGAATTTGTGGGATTGTCTTCAGATGTTTTCTCATAGGGATGTCTCTTCTGTGATAGGTGGAGACTTTAACTGCATTCTGTCTCAGGAGGATAAGAGGGGTGTAAAGAAGTTTTTTTTTTCTCAAGGCCCTAAGGAGATGTTGAGCTTTATAAATAGCAACGATTTTCATGAAGTGGGTCTTGTTTGACCAAGTTTCACTTGGTGCAACAATAAAAGTGGAGGTGGAAGAATTTTGGAAAGGTTGGATAGGTGCTTGTTAAACTCCATTGCTTTAGGAAAAATCTAGGTGGCCGTTGTGAGACATATTGCTAGAGTGGCTTCAGACCATTTCCCTATTGTTTTGAAGATTTTTTATTTAGCTATTAAGATGAAAGGTATTCTAAAGTTTGAAGATGTTTGGGCTTCTTTTCATGCTTCATTTATTATTGTTTCTAGAGTATGAAACAAATCATATGAAGGAAATGAAATGCAAATTCTTAACAAAAAATGTAAAAGAACTATGAAGGAGATTTTCTTTTGGAGTAAGGCTAAATTGAAAAATTTTTGGTCTTTGAAAGAGTGCCTTAAGAAAGAGGTGTTGCAACTTCAAGAGGAGGAGGCTATAGTTGTTTGGTTAAATGAACAAAAATTATGGCTTTTGAGACCTAAGGTTGTAGAATTGAATGTGTACCTAGCTCATTTGAATACTTGGTGGAGGCAAAGGACTAAAATAAGAGGGATAGAAGAAGGGGATTCAAATTCCAATTTTTTTTCATGATTTTGTTTGCAAGGCAGTTAATAAATTCTTTTTATCTCGTAAACTTTGCAATGAATGGAAGGAAACTCTTATTTTTTTATTCCTAAAGTAAAGGATCCTTTTTTACTCACTGGTTATCATCCAATCAGTCTTTGTAAATCTATTTATAAGATTGTGGCTAAAGTTTTATTGAATAGACTTATGTTGGTGATTCCTAAGATTATTTTTGAAGAGTAGGTGGCTTTCGTAAGATGGAGATCAATCTCGGATCACCTTCTCTTAGCTTAAGAAGTGTTCAACAAAATCAAGTTTTCTAAATCAATGAAGGGACTCTTGGCTATCAAGATTGATATGAAGCAAGAGTATTATAATATGTGTTGGTCCACATTAAGACCTGCGTTGAATTACTTGGGTTTCCCTATCAAATTTGCTAACTTGTTGATGGAATGTGTGGTTGAAACAATATTTTTTATTATGATTAATGGTTGCAGCTCTAAGTGGATTGAGGGGAAGAGTGGGTTTTGGAAAGGATGCACACTTTCTCCGTTCTTATTTATTATGTGCCTCAAATACTTTCAAATGCTTTTATTAATAAAGGCATGAATTTTGGTATTAA